CTTATTTTTGTCGCCTTTCGTGGTAGCATATGATGCTACAAAACTTTCTTGCTAGCCTGATAGGCTTGGGTAATGATAAGCTACGATGTCGATATGACAAAGTAAGCCTATATTCTGGGATCACAAGTTTTAGAATTACTGGAGGTTCGGATTTGAAAACTGAAGCTCTTTCGGCGAAATATAGTGTTAAAACATGCAGGTGGCGGACTTCGTGAATATTAAAGAGGGGCGTCAACGAGACAGTATGTAGAATTAGGCAAGTGAGTATCGAGTCAGCGTCATTGCGACGACTGCGCCGCCAAGGCTCTGTCTTCCATCGCCATATTCACTGTCGTTGTGATTGTCATCGTCTAATTGCCTGTTGTTCTCACACAACATCTACAAACAAAACGGAAAGGGCGGAACAGAGCTGTCTGACACACAAGCAATAAACCGTCGACGTGATCGCTAAGGTTCCAAACTTGGATTGACAGCTGAAGGAACGAAGATCGGCTTGCGTCTGCACGGCGTTATCGTTGGGCGAACTCATTCGTTACTCGCTGCTACCCGTGTTCTCGCAAAGTTTACTATCCTCTAATGCTACATGACGTCTTTTCGAAGAGTTTTGGATCGATTTTGGTATCGGAAAAATGATTGGGATGATCAAGACGAGGATTCATTCAGCTACATCTATGGTTATGAAAAACCCTGGGTAAGCTTCATTACTCAAAAAATTTGAGTGGAGGTTTTTTCGTCTTGAACGCTTTTGATCATTTGTAGCAAATGATAACATCTATCATTTTGTTACACAAAATTGTTCAGCTTTTCTTAGTCCATCAGGCCTATTTTGATCAATTATATCGTCTTATTCAGTATATGGTCTTTTGATCTCTTATTTTCTACCTTCTTCGCGAAGAATTTTTGCTATTCTATAATGAGAATCTCTTGGAAATGATTGTGTCACGGCTTCTCAAATTTCTTGAATTCCTATAACCTTTCCAACTCGAATCAAATTTTCATCGTCAGAAAAGCAAGCAGAGACAAGTTTTTACTGTAAAAATTTTTCCCAAACATATGATTTTCTTGATAGATCTCCAAATCTCATATCTACACTATGTTCGAGGCAGTACAGTTATTTTTCGTGGATATCTTTGAGCATGTTTTGTTATTCTCCAACTGCTCTTGATGCGTGCAAAAATGGTTGTCATATCTCATGTATGGACTGTGAGGAGCAAGTCATGCATTGCGATGCTATGAACATCTAGGAGAACTGAGATGTCGAGAGCACCGCGGAAAAAAAAACAAGCTTCTAGTTTGAATTTATCGGCTATTTGGTAATCTGATTCACGCTCCCTAGACGAACAAGTTTTTTTTTTCTCTTTCAGCCAGATGTCGCTTATGGTTTAGTGATTCTTAACTAATAAGCCTTAAGCTTCCATAATGAACTCTATTTGGGTTTTTGCTTTTTTCGCTTTCGCATCAATTATGCCGAAGAATACCTGAGCTGCTTTGCTTTGGGAAAATCCATTGACAGCTTATTAATATTAAGAATTGTTTCACGTGTCACCCTTTGCAGCGGATTAAGACAATTGTTTCATTCTTCCTCAATCGCACTTTCGTTTTGTTAAGCTCCGTTGACATCGCACAGTATTTCTACCTTCATTGACTTTTGCGCTCAATTTGTTATTCGTCTTTACTTATGAATTTTTGTTGTTTAAGTAAAATTCATACCGTCATCATTGCGCCCTCGACAAATTATGCTAATCCTCAGAATCGTGACCGCATTTAATGCTTTTGAAGTTATTTTGTGTGACTTTGGATAATACAGTCTAGACAAGATTCGAGTTCAGATCAAGTTTTTCTTGTTGATGGGGTCGGGAAAAAACCGAATTTTGTTGATGGGGTCGGGAAAAAATCGAATTAGACAAGACAACTAGATTTTATTAATTTTGTGCATGTGCTCTCAAATTTATTTCCTGTATCTCGAATTACGTTCGTATGAAAATCTTTGATACAGTCATAGCTTTAACTTCATGATTTTTTTTGAGATTGACTGGTTCACTCTAGTTATCCTATGTGAAGAGGTTTGATGTCGTCTTATGCGGATTTCTTTTACATCAAATTCCTTGGCGCCATATCATATTGAATATATGAACTTTTTACCCTATCTAGCATATGCAGTAAGATAAATTGGGTGTTGTGAAAATAACTATAAAAAATAAAATAAAAATAAAATAAAAATGAACCTATTAATAAACTTACGCATCATAGCTGCTGCCATCTGTGTGTATCATGGTAAGCATTGATGCTACCGTATCTCTTGAGAAAAGGTAAGCACAAAACATCAACGCTTTTTGTCGACTTGATCTCAGGATTTCGAGCGTTTTTGCATGCTAGGCAAATTGCATCTTCCTGTACGCATCTAGTGGTATACATCAGCATACTGTACATGTGCGAATAAGCTGTAATTTGATGTTAGTTTCCATATAGAAAAATTAGCCAACTTTCGCCCACTCGCATACGTTCTGGCGTTTAACAAATTCTGATGAAGTCGTTGAACAGGGTGTGTCACTCTCCTATCGCCAGTACCATTTTTTCGGCTTCACTCAACGATATGGAATGTTTCACATCTAGAAAGTTGTGTTACGTTTTCATTTTTCGCATGCTTTGAGCAAGAAGGTGGATGATTAATATGTGGTTTTAGTGTGTGACCAGTGAAACATAGTTATACCATACACCGCGAACAAATGATCATAAACTGAGCGTCTGTAGAAGTAGGAGGGAGTGAGGAGTTCTAGGAAATAGCAAAAAGGAGGTCGGGAGTCACGTTGTGTTATATAGAGCTTTGTTCAGTAATTATGAAGGAACTGGTTTGATGTTCACTTCACTTTGTCTTAGTTGATGACGCACTGGAAACCTAATAAAACATCGGCTTGGCAAGCTTTGCGCAGTTCCTGTCTCATTACAAAAAAGCTGGTGACAATTCTTTCTGTAGTGCTTAGGATGACTTACCGAAGTGATTCAGCGCTCTTTCAAATTGTTGAAAGAATTGCTCTTTGAGTCAGTTCTGTCAATCCGCTTACAAAAAGTATGACCTTACGTCATCATTTTGATTTTTCTGTCCAGTACTTGATCTCTCATGTCCTTATCTGGATACTGAAGCTTCTCACTCAGCTGATTTCTGCGATTCATAGGCCGAAGTCGATTGCTACATAACATTCTGAGCAGTTTAAGTGTAGATGGAGCACTAAAGTTGGGTGAACAGTTGGATTAGCAACTTTTCGTCCAATAAAAAAAGAACGAGTGGAGGGTAGACTCTCCTAAAGTGGACTAGTTTATGCCGCTTATTCAGCGCAGTGCAGACAAAGTGCGCACGGATTCATTGTACATGCCGGTGCTGTACCCACTTTGAATTTGTCCTTTCCGGTTTGTTATGACATATCCCATCAAAATTTTCTTTCTTCTATCCTCTTTTCCAAGTGTTTCGTTATTCCTGGTAAGTTGATTATCTCGGGTTCCCTGTGAGGGTAATCAGCGCTTTCAAATGAGTCATCACCAATGCGCAAAAAAAAACAGGTCTAATTATGTGTTGCGTCATCATCTTGCTGGTCAGCTGCTAGTTTTTCTTGTAAGCTTGATAATTCGGATTTGTGTCTACGTGTGGGATCAAATCAAGGACAAATATACAGTAGATTTTTCTAGCAAATTCAAAAGCTTGCCTACACTTCCTTTCAGGTTTTGGTGCGAATTCCATCAACTGAGATTAGGTCATCGTGAAATCCGGTATTCGCGTAAATTGCGTGCAAATTTGGCCTTTTATGGATTAATTCGGAATCCAAGGTGCGTGCCCAACCCTGTACCTTTCAATACCTAGAGTTCATCAACATTTCTATGAGATGAAATTTAATTTGATTGGTTGTTAATTTGGTTGTAAGGTATCATAGAAATCTCCAAGGGTGATCTCCAAATGAGACCTCCTTCCAGCTTGACTTCTTTTGCAGCCATCGAAAATAGGGTGCTCTGAGAATAAGCTTGATTAGCTAAAGAAAATATTTTACAGACAATGCAGATATGTTACTGGCTCGACTAGATTTATCTCTTTTACTTTCCTCTATCTTTTCGAGAATATCAAAATCAAGTTCAAATATCTGGTGCTATTTTTGTCTTCTACTTGTGGTTAGTTGTTTTTGGTTTTTTTGGTCATTTTTTGAACAGCTGCCCATTTGCAGCAATATAATGTTAGTAGTATTTTGCAGAACAATCGAAGGCAAACGAGCAGAATTCCAAGCCTCACACTAAAATTTGCGTGTAGACCTGCTGCTTGTGTATCACGAATCGCGTCTAGTAGGCGGCGTTCTTCGATTACGAGTGTGTTGTGTGTGCGTGGCGCATTGAAATGTGCAGTTTTTTTCCTCCGCCGATGCTCATACGCTCCAAGAATTTCCTCTCGTCTAAGTCGCGATTTTCCGCTTTTTTTCGTAGAATTGGCCTTCTCAAAGTCAAGCTCTCCACTTCTTGTGTGATCGTTCTTTTGTCCTTGCATCCGCTTGCGATAAATTCCTGAATTATGGGATTCTATCAGTGTTTATAGCCACGCTCGCAATCGATAGGATGAAGTGCGCTGCTTTGTTGTCCCTAGCCGTACTTGCTGCATCGTTAGCCATCCAGCCGTGGAGATCTTTTTTTCGGACTTGTCGCTAGCGCCTTGCCTAACCTGACTTGATTTCCACGTAATGACGTAACGACTCGCGCGGCTCATAGTGGCTGCAAGTGCGTGGTCGGGAAGAATCGATGTGTGCTGTGGGAATTCGGCTACATCCACCACAAACGTGAAATATTTTCTGAATCTAGACGCTGGGAGCTTTTTTGAGAGACCCGCATAGAGGCGGTCTCGGCCACACACCCACAACTGCGCCACGCTTGACTTCGCCGAGAAAAGAAGTCTTGCCAACGACGTCTTCGCCGGTGTGGGCGGCGCTGCTGCGTTTACTGCGCTTGACTGGTCCACTTATGCTTGAGTACAGCACTATCTAGGCCCATAGTGAACCCCTCCCCCCTCCGCCTAAGAGCTGTCGGAGGTACTGATGTACTTACTGCCTGCAGCATCATCCGAAGCGTTAGCGTATCCTACCGCCCGAATCACTCCCCTTGCAAGCCCCGCCCTTTTGCATAGCACATTCCAACCAACACTTCTCTAACGAGTATTTGACGGGTCACTGCAAAGTCATTGATCTGTATTCGAAACTGCCTTTCTGTCATTGTACTGTATATTTACTGCTGCTGCTCTGATCAATAACTGATTGATTTCAATGCCTACTCAGTTCACGTGTCCGTGGTGTGCCGGTGATCACCATCTATCGACACCGAGCAGTAGCCGCGACGAACCTCGTTCACCGGCTACAGCAGCGACCAGCAGCTGGACCTGGAACGTCTTCGATTGGCGACAAGCGTGTTGCGTTTCCGGTTGGCGTGAAGTGAAGCGAAGCGCCGAGATGAATGGACTGTGCTGTTGTACACCATGTAAGCCAAGGTTAGTGATTGTCACACGTTAATTGTTCATTGGTGGGTTCAAAGGTGATTCCCGCCCTCTTCTATATTGAATTTGATTGTTTTTGTTACTGCGTCCTACCAGGAGTATGAGTCATCCTTCTAGCCGTCTTGATTCTTATCTACAGATCTCAATTTTTTGCTTGTTTTTGTGAAGGCGTTGCCCTCTTTGAAAGGCATATTCAACGTCATGTTCTCATGCCAATTCTTGTTATCTTACATCTGCGCTCGAATCATACTTCTGTCGAATTTTCATCTGGTTTCAAGTGGAAATTTTTTGGGTTGTTAGAAATTTTTTTCTGCCTCCTCATAATCTTGCACTTGTAGGATTATGAGATGCAGATTTACAAAAGAGCTTTCTCAACTTTTGTTGCAGTTGCCTTAAGTCCATAATTCTGCTGCCGATTATCTGTTTTTATTCAGTCATTCTGAAGAAAACTGACTAAATAAACCTGAATCCGCTTCTCTCCGATTAAAGAGCGGAATCTAAGGATGCCTCCGCGTTCTTTCATTTTTTCGATGGCAGTGGTCTTTTGAATAGCTCCGTTTATTTTGTGCCATTTCTATCGTGCTATACTTTCCCAATTTGATCTTATCCTCATGATTTGTCGAAAATGCATCAATTTTTTATCCTTCTCTATCTATAGCAGCGGAAATAATCATATATTTGTGTTACATATTTCGAACTTCTTTTGAAAATAATGCAGCTAGATGGATGCATTCATCATTTTTTTTTGCCGCATAGTCTTATAATTCATTGGGCACATGAAATCACAGCAAGAAATTACCACCCTTTTTTTCTCAATCGTCATAGAAAGTTGATGAGTCAGGAAGGCACGCGTTTGGCACCAGATTGATGGTGACATATGCCCCATGCACTCCTAAATTCGCTAAACAAGAACGAGTGAAGTGTTGAGTCGATTTTAATCATTTTCTCTCACGAATTTTCAAACGAATCAATATCCAAGGTTGTTGCGCTTAGATCAAGATGATGGCTAAATAATCATCTTGAAACGTACTTTGATTTGTAACAATTATTAGGTCGGAAACTAAGCTTTGCAACTTCTTCCATAACTTTTCTCTCTTTAAATATGGCACATTCAAACTTTGGCATTTTGGTAAGCCGTAACGTGCGCTACAACTAGGCGCAAATTGTTCGATTTTTAAATGCGAAATAAAAAAATCAAAGTATTTCTCTTAAACAATGAAATGCGGGGATTTACGAGGCTGTAAGTTAAAATGAAGCCATTCGCGATTTAGACCATGCCCGACGCCAAAAATTTACATTTGTTGAAGTTTGACTAAAATAGCTCAGTAAAAATAAGGTGAAGACTAGTCGAGATCTGGCGAACTGTCACCGACTGAGGATCCGAACGTCAGAATTCACCGAGGTTGTGCATAGTGGAGTTGGTTGACCTGCCGATCACGAACAAAATATTGTTGAATTAAGGCTTCCTTTGTTATCCTGGCTTAGATCCATGCCGTGAACTCACCATAATCATACAAAAAAGTCCCTAACATGCAGTTCCAGTATCATTTTCGTGACCAGCATGTCGGATACCCCCCCCCCATGCCAAGCTTCTGCCAAATCTGTTATGACCTATAAAGTTTTCTCTCATACCATATATCTACCGTAACACTCAGTTCAACGTCAAAATTTGGCAGAAAAATCGCTGCACTCGTATCCTACCTCATATCTTACATGATAACAAAATTTGAGTGCCCATTATTCAATAAGAAAAGTCATGAAAAGTCTCAAAACTTATTTTCCTACCCAATACTTCTCAGAAAACGCATTTTTGTCGCAAATTGTGTGGGAATGTAGTTTCGAACTTTCTTGCTTAAATCCTATCAGACTAATTCTATGCGACAGATAAGATAAATGGGAAGCATTATTGTACAGAGATGCAGCTCTCTTTTGGCTGAAATTTACGTGTAGAATGTTAAATGTTCCAAGGTAGCAGACTGTCCTTCCAACCCTTTAATTCTGCTTTTCCAAATCTTTGCAAAATTCGCTCTTTTACCTTGTAGTTTTTGGTCAAGTTCTTGCTACCCATAAATGCACAGTATCGCAAGATAGATTTCAATTTACATAAGACGCATAGCCGGAAAAGCTCGCGCGACTTTGCATTCTGCAGCTAATTTCTTGTGCAGAGAGCTCTTGTGCATTTCCGAGAAGGTGCAAAAAGCTGTGCGATGTGAGATAGTCACTTAATTGATTCATGTATCATAAGTTTTTTTTATCACAAAAACTCTGTGGTTATATCGAAATCTGTTATGTAAGTTAACGCTCGTAGCTTGATTCGATAAAGTTTTTCTGTACATAAACATGTGGAATTATAGCGTGCGACGGCTAACATGGCTGAAACCAGTTAACCTTGAAAAGCTTTCTTTTTTGAAAACAATCAAGTCAAATTCTCGGCCCAACGTTACCCTTTTCTTGCAATCTGCTCCTCGAGCCATGCCTTGTTTTTCTTTCCAGCTGTCTGATTAATCAACGAGCCTCATTCATTTTGTCTTTTCTTGAACATCCACGAACACACCCACCATAATCTGTGGAATCTCATTGAAAAAATGTTTATGTGACTTATGACAGTGGCGCTCCCACGTTTCGCTTCGTTTAGTGCGTTGGCGTGCATTAAAAAGATATGAAATTGTCTGCAAACTCATTTTATGTGCTTGTGCGCTGAGAATTTTCCTGTACGAATCAAGAGATGCTGGTCATCTCAGACTTTTGAAAGATGTGACTAGTATTTTTTCTGCAAATCTTGTGATAGTCAGTGATTATACTTACACTATCAGTCTAATTAATTTTGCACATTTTGAAGCGATGCAGTTCAACGGCTTATTTATAAGACGGCAATCTTCAACAGAGGGATTTCAAGTGAAGAAAAAAATCGCAGAGTAGAAGACACTCTCTCTCTTTGGTTGATCAATTGATTCCTGGTTCGGGGCTCAAATTTCTTTGAAATTCTTATTCAGCTCAATCGCTATTCCTACCAGTTTAATTCTCTACTTAGCCCAAACTATACAACCAATGTATTGATCTTTCATACTTATTTCGCAATCTGTCGAATGTAATTTGCCGATGCAGATGTTGCCTCAGTAGATGCACATATGGCTCAGGTTTTATTCTCTCAGCTACGTATCCCCTTTACATCTGCTTGCCAGCTTCAATGCTCGTACAGAGTTTTGCGCACTTGTATGAAGAAAAGTTTATGTTAGCGTTGTTGCCAGTTTCGAATCTGCCATATGCTTTTCGAGCTTTGCAAAGTTCTTGGTGTGAGTGGGATCACCTTTGTCTCAAGCGCAAGTACTACGAATATCTCTGTTCTGGTTGATCTTATTAGGAAGGAATACTAAATTGATGTGGCAAATTGAAAAGAGGTGTATATCACTAGACGCGCCTTCACAAGTTGATTCCAAATCTACATTCTTTTTCTGCGGAACAACTCTCTGAAGGAAGTTATGAGTGTTTGAAAGTTTGAATCTGTCAAGCCTCAAGTGGCATAAAATTAGCGAAAAGTTCTACAAAAATACGGGAAAGTGGGGAATTAATCTTTTTATCAAATATGTTGACTACAAAGAAGGACCGCAACCAGTGGAAATTCGCTTACGTGTTTCTGTACAGCTTTTCGCTATTTAGCCACTCAAGGCTTGACATGTATTATATTTGGACTTCTAAACGCTCTAACTCTTTCCGACACTTGTTCTTTAGAAAAGGAAAGCAGATTTCGGTGTAAGCAGCGGAATCAGCATTTGATGACGCGTCTAATGAAATACCTTTTCGATTGCAAGATCAACTCGGCATCCTTCCCTTGTTAGGCCTTTATCATACCTAGCGCGATTTTTCTGTATCCCGTTCGCCACGCGCGATGTGCTGATTTGCTAATTGCCAATTTATCATATGTGCCTTCAGCTGCATAGTTTGCATGGCTTTTATGCGAATGATTCAAGTAAAAAATTTGTCTACGCAATAGCGCCCAAGGGACGCCAGAAATAATCAGGAAGAATGACGCAGCATGAAATGCAGTTCTAGCGAAATGCGAGGTATGTCGACGCCCTTAGAGGTGGGATGTATTCAGAATGAAGCAAAAAGCTGCGTCAGCTTTGTTTATGACGTAATTTGTCATTTGGCAGTGATTCAGCTTTGCTGCATGATTCTTTTTTCAGTTCATGGCTGAGTTATTCTTACCTTTCTGAAGAAGAATAACTGTTTGCTAAACTGCAAACTTGCTGACTTTATAACATGAGAAATCACTTCTCACTAGTGTAGAACATGTAATGCGTGTAATCCCCTAAGGCTTTTTTACGTCTCTCGCAATGTAAACACTCATTCAGAGTTGATAAACTGAGGAAGTTTTCTTTCCTAAATACACTTGTAGAGTCTTAAGCACTAGAAAAAGCGAAAGATGATATTTGCCTTGCTCCTCAGCTCCATCGCAGCAACTGTTTGAATCTTGCAAGTGCTGTAGCTCCTAACACTTTTGCAAGTCCCCTCCACATCTCTCGTATACTGTAGCTCAAAACCTTGGCAACTTGCCGTATGGGAATTCGTTCTTTGTGCTATCTTACTGGTCAGTCTTGAAATGGGCGCTCGTACTTTGCTCTTATCTGTAACTATCAGCAATCCCTATTTGCTGAATAACGAAAATCATATAGTTTCTTTTTTGATGTTCCATCACATTACGTCTCAGCCGCACGTGCTGATTATCAAAAGTTGGTTGCGTATAGCCATCTTTTAATGTCGCGTTAGCGAAAACTACTAGGCTGTTGCATAAGTTCTGTCCGATTTTTTTGCCTCATGTTTGAAGCAGCTGTTCTAAGAGAATTTCATCTCTAATTCGATACGGTTGGTATCATTGAAAAGTGCTTTCCTTGCGCTTTCTAAAGCATACCAGAATTCAATAAAATTCTTAGTGTACGGAGATCACAGGCCTAAAATCTCTAAGTGGCCGAGGTACGTTCTATCCCTAGAAATATGTCCTTGCGAGGATATCTCCACAATGCGCCCTTCAAGTCAGGTTCTTTCATTGGCTTCGGAATAAGGGTTTGGAATGCTAGTATATGCAGAAGTTCGGTCCCATGAAGAATACGTCTTGCTAGTGAAATTTATCCTCGAACATAAATCTTTGGTATAGATGTTTTACAAGCAATAACTTTCTGCGAATAGAAGTAATCGACAAGCTCGAAGTTGGAGGTGCTAGGGCAAAGCAAGAGCTAACAGGGCCCATCCACCAATTCCTTTTCGGCGCTCACGTCAGTTGTAAAACGTTCGTAGTTCATAAATAGGCATGCACACATGTGCTGAAGCGAGGTCAAAAAGTGGCTAATTTTTTGTTCGGTCAAGAAAATCTCTCGGCAGCGCAAACCCTATGGGCTCTTTTATGTTGCATAATAATCTACGAAAATTTCTCTATCCATCCATTATTAGAAAAGATGCCTATCAATTTTCATAAGGGAGCGTTACCATGTCAAAAAAGACAGATTCGAAGAAAAACGCTGCGAAGTTTTTGCATTCTTGGTTCTTCCTTAACAAAGATTTGCGCAGATCTCAATATGCATTTTTTAGCCAAGGGACTGCTCAACACATAGACACTAAGACCTTGGAAAAAAGTTGACTCTGAAAGAAGTTATGACATTTTAAACTCAAAAATTCAAATCGGACAGAACTTATGCAACAGCCTAGTATAAAGCAGTAGTGGTTCGAGGCATTTCTTTCGGAGTGGCGGGAGGGCGGGGGGGGGGGGGGGGGGAGCGACAAATTTTTCCAAAAAGGAAGTGTGGCAGCCAAGCTCCCCGAAATCTGATGCTTCCCAACTTTTTAGCGAACCTGTGCCACTCCCCCGAAAAGATTTGTTTTACAAAGTTATATATTGCAAACATTATTTTGACTAATTCACGAGTACAAAAATAAGCCACTGGCACAATTTTATACCCTTTTCCCCCGCCCGCCCTCCGGTGCGCCGCTGCTGTGAGGAATTTTTATAATGACTCATTTGCATCTGCAAAGCTGAAACTCACCAGTCATATATCAGTGGGCGGTCCCAGGATTTCCGTCTGAAGTGTGGCAGGGCAACAAAATTTTTTAAAGTTTTCCTTGGGATGCTTCACAAAATTTTTTTGGGTCCCTAGCCCCGAAATTCTAGAAAAAGGTGACGTGTGCAGCCACGCTCTCTGAAAAAAAATTTTTTGAAGGGCTAATTTGAATTTTTGAAAAATTTTGAAAACCGTTTTGATTATTTACAAGCATAAACAAGTCACTTGCACATTTTTATGCTGTTGTGTTATGACTTCATATCTTTCTGGTGAACTGCATCACTACAAACCTCAGGTCTTATTACATCTTGAAAAATCTTTTGTACCTTAGCTGCAGATCGCAAACTTAACTCACGGACTAGAGGTTGAATTGCTTTTATCTTTGAGCTTCAGGGGTAATGCTGGGCGTGAGGGGAAGTCCCTAAGCGCTATTCTGTCTTCTCGTCTGATGTCACATCTGTCGTTCTGCCAATTCTTTTGTTTTTTCTTTTCCTGCATCGTCGATGCAATCCAAGCCACAAACTACAAATCCTGCAGTAGTCAAATGGCACTCAAAAAATTCTGGCAAAATGAGATTTTCGAATATCATTTTACTTGCAGATATCGTCGCTTGGTGGATTCGATCTACCCACGTTCAGTCACCGATGGCCTCGTCTCCTCAAATATGCAGAAACTTACATACTATGCATTTTCTCATCCGGAGAAATTGGAACGAATTGGAGAGTACCTAGTATTGCGCATGAGCAGAGACCTTGGCCGATTGCGTTTTGTACAAGTGAAAGTGGGTATTATTATAAGAAAATGTGTGACACGTTACTGCAGAGGTGAAAATGTTCAGATCGCCGTCGAAGCGATGGACCAACTGTTGCAGTCATGTCATAGCTCACCCAGTTTGCCACAGTTCAGCGAAAATCATCTGAAGATGGTACAGAAGCTGCTCGAATCGAATAATCCAAAAATGGAGGTGAGTATAGTTAGAGGAAATCGTTAGCCATTTAAGGGAGCTGTCAAGTCTCTTGAACATAATATCTGGAGACGAAAGTCCTAAAGGATTTTGTGACATTCACTACATTGGCTTTCCATTCTGGGGATAATCTTGAAACGGTAACATCTATGATCTAGGCGTCCAAGTTTTTAAATGCGTTAAAGGGAGCGTCTCGGCAAAATTTCGCTGTTCCGTTCTTACCTATTCGGAGCCTTTTCGCCATAAGGGTACCCATATCTAGGCTTTTTAGCCCATGAAATGGCAAAAATGAGTTTTTCCGCCTCCGTTCCGCCTGTTTGTTTCGGATTCAGCCCACTTACACGTATTCCTACTAAATGATAACCTGGATAATATCGCAAAAAGCTCATTCTTGCTCATGCTGAAAAGCCCACATTTGGATTCCTCATGGCGAGAAGGTTGCGAAAAGATGAAAAACTGAAAAGCAACATTTTGCTAGGACACTGCCTTCAAATTGAAAGCCACCTTTTTTACTGAACTCGCGCCAGTAGAAGCTCCACGAGAGTAACCTAGCTTTTTTATGTCCTAATAATTTTTCTATACTTGACTAAATCTTTCGGTTCCTTTTCATGGCTTGTAATTTATTTCCTCTTTCGATGGTGATCCGCCTGCGACTTCTCTACTTCTCTTACTTTAATACATCAGCAGCCCGTCATGATCACTTCAAAAATAAAATGAATTTTAGAATTTTGAAAATGTGATAAAGGGTAAATTGAAATTTGTAGTCTGGATAAAAACTGCCAGTATGTAAATATCCTCCAACAGGAAGTTTGGACTGTGCTGTAGTTCATTAGGACTATTGTGCTCTGCGCCCACAAAAGTCACAATTTGAAAGGCTTTCGTTGCGGATTCAGTCTTTACAAGTCTGTTCTTGAAGTGTATGTTGTTTATATCTCACATTTTAGCAACTAGCAACCGATTCATTTGTGACGTTCTCAAACATCGAGGAAAGCAGCCCATCCTATCATCGTCAGTATGACTTCTTTATCTCGAAGTTCTCGCAAATGTGTCACTCGAATCATAGCGAAGACGCACGAAAGATCCGAATAGCCGGCTTGAAGGGACTGCGAGGTGAGCCTAAGGGACTTGTGCTCGTTCTGTGTGGCCGGTGTCCAATTCGTTTCCTCTTTTTTGCATACTTCCCCATATGCACTTGACTAGCATTGATGTCGAATGCGTGTTACCCCATATGAATTTGGAAGGGTTGTACATTGAAATGAGGGATTATTAGAGACATTTGCAGATGAGTTTTGCTCAATTTCCAGGAGTCGTTTGGAAATCGGTGACTGATGATCTACATCCGAATATCTGGGAGAAACAACATATGGATAAAATTGTTCCCTCAATTTTATTCAATCTGCAAGAGCCAGGTACATAAATGGTGTTTCGTAGTTATTTTTTTGTGATCAATTTCTTTTTTGTACCGCGTTCTCATTCAGTTGACATCTTTTCATTCCCGAACTTTTTGTAAATAAAGTTAGGTAGCTGTTTTGCGACCGTAGAAATTTCCTAAATTCTTTTTGCCGTCAAAACAGGTGAGAAGAGATTTGAGAAATTTTCAGTGTGAGCAAGTGTGCATCAGGTCAAAATTCTTGTCTTTGTAGTAAATTGCTATGATTCGTTTCTGTCTGTACCGCTAGATATTGTTTTCAGATACCGAGGAGCCAGCCAAGTCCACCATGATTTTCGATGGTCCGTTTACCGATGACCCAAACCGCGAAGAAAGTCCTCGATCCCTGTCAGACCGCTGTCTACGTGAACTCATGGGAAAGGTGCTTTTAACATTTTTTCTTATCGAAAGCAAATTGCTGCATGGTTGTCACCTAAGTTCTATATGATTGCGGGAAGTTGTTGATGTAATTTCTTTTCATTTTTCCGCAAACCTGACTGCTGAAATCATTTTTTACACTAATTTCTTCTTAGCATTTTTTTTACAAAGTCAGCGAGTTTAGTGGCAAATTGGCTATTGCTCTACGTATGTACAACTAGCAAAAAAGGGGTTTTTGGTTTTGGTTCGAACTGGGTTTGATTTAGGACAAAGATGGAATAATTTGGAACTTGTAATCATAGAGTCGCTGACCGAAAAGTTCTAAAAACTTTCCTCATCTAAGGACTGTCTGTGACCAAATGATAGTTTTCTTGTTACGTCTTCTAAATCTCGGCAAAAGTTGCTATGAATGTTGTAAACTTGGTTATGACTACCGCTTTTTTGCTATTTATTCTGCTTCCCATTCACTTCTCAAAATGGTGATTTAGGCCTCGTTCGGCTCACTGCGAGCAGTGATGGAACCAGTACTGAAACACATGGATCTACATGCTCACTGGAAACCACCGCCTGTATTTGCCATACATGTGTTTAGAGCAATTATCTACAGTATCCAGAGTCAGAATAGTTACTTTGTTATTCAAGTAGGTTGAGTTTTTGCTTTGTTTTTCGATACCTGACTGAGAACTTTCGCGCTTGGTGCCATCAATTGTGCTAATACTGGGGTCGTCTTGTTTGTCGAAGTTAAAGGTGGTATGTCATCTATATTAGCAAGTCTCGTTATGGAATTTTGGGATTTAATTCTTTTGGGAATTAGCAGAGAGGGCTGCGTCTTCCTTTGCTTTTTTTGGAATTTCAACGAATGCTTCATAGTGAAAGTTCTCGACTTTGGGCTGCTCATACATATACTCACAAGCTTTCACAGTTGTTTATAAGAGAGACGCAGGGGAATTTTGACATTTTTGAAAACATCGGCCTTGGTGTTCTCACAAGTAGAGGGAGAGGGAGGATCTGCGAATACGACGTACCTCCAAGCACAAGTTTTGAAAGAATGATTTGTACCAATCCAAGTGATGTGCATGAAACTTATTGAAGCAGAGTTATGAAACACTAGAGTAGCACAATGCCTGGGAAAAGGTCAGTCTCTCGAATTGAATTGCTTAGGAGCTGATTAATCATCTGGATTCGATGAGCAGTGCCGATGCTGTGATCAGAATAGGAATAGCAACAGTGCTGTCAAATATAGTATCAATTGCTGGAACTAGTATAGGTGAGTCTTCCCGCTGAATAAATATCTGTTGCTAGATGTTTACGCTATGAAATCCAGTAGTAAATGAATGCATGTGAAATCGACATATCTTTTGTGGTCTGAGGTATTTTGCGCAGCAATGTATTTTAATGGGGTCAATTATCTCCAGTTTGCTAGTCTTTTGTAGGTCCATTGCTGCTGTCGATATTCAACTCCTTGCTGAAACACTTGAGAACGTCTGTAGACTTCGAGCGATCAGAAAAGTGCAAGGATTCGGAAGCAGAGAAGATGTATCAGGAAGCGCTGATCAATGCCATGGGCGATTTTGCGAATGCGTTGCCGGATTACCAAAAAGTAAGAATAGTCGTTTTCTTGAGGTTGGCACTCGTAAAAGCTGTAGTCCATCATATAGTAGCCAATGCCTTGGGCTTTAATGCTTCTTTCTGAGCTGTTATAATTCGTTCAAGGTGGAAATGATGATGTTCACCGTCGGCAATATCCCCAACCTCGACGAAAAGCGTGTGAAGCAAGGAGACGAATTTTTGCAACATGTGTTGGTCAAAACGTTGTTGAAGGTGAATTTCTCTTCTTTCTAGTTTTGCCCTCATCTTGTCCAGATCCAGAACGAATTTTTATGTAGCTACCAAACGAGGAGAGTTGCAGATCACAAAAGTAGATCAATGTCCTTTGTGGTAACCAAACATGGATAAAAGAAGCTCGAATTTTTGATGCTATGCAGCGCAGGACAGAGAGTGTTGAAGTGTTTTTTTTTTGCCTTTGAAAAATCCGTTCCTTATATTGGTTTGCAAAACATGATTAATTGCGTTCTATTTCATGTTTTTAGGTAGCGACAAAATACCGAACCGCTTACCTGGCTACTGTTTTCACTGATTCGTTTCTGCATACTCTCATCCAACTAGCCCTTGTCAAGGATCCTCAAGTACGCCTTGGAACTCAGCAAATATTTCACACATTGCTAGACAGGTATGTTTGACTTTTAGTTATCTTTAACTTCTACTTACTCTCTCCATAGACACGACAATTTGTCGCATCTGGCCCATCTGCCCTACGTTCTTGACGTATCCGATGTACAACTGACCGTGGAGAAATGTTCAAGAGCTGATCAGATGTTTATGAGGAAACATATTCACGACATGACGCATATGCTTTACCGGTTAGTCAGCCCTCAATCCTTAGAACATCATGAATTACGGTTATTCAGAGCCGTAATTCTTGTAGCAGATGATTCTTATATGCAGCAGCATATGGATGCTATTCAATGCACAATGAGTTTGCTATGCATAGAAGTAGGATTTGATGAGGTATGTGTTCATATGCATTTGAGCATTAAATCCAAGCTTTATCACCTCTGGGGATTTTTGATGGGGTTTCCACAAAATGATAGTTTTTGCTACAGCGTTGAGTGTGCTTACTCAAAAATCTAGCGGTGCTTGAATCTGAGCTAGTTTACAATGACTACCAGAAATGCATTTCCTAGATGCAGATAACGCTCTGTTCGATATCTTATCTTTTCCTTTTTTTTTCTTCCTCATACGAAAACTACTCAAATTGATTCTTTTTTCAGACCCTTATCGAACTTTTCCGGCTAGCATTTGCACTTCAACTGTTAGCACTAGACCCGTTGCATCCATTCACTGCAGACAAAAGGATAGCTTTACATAATCTTGTGGCGAAGTATATGAACCTGGCAGCTCAACTAATGGCGAATCCTTCACTCTGTCAGCATGTGCAACAAGTGAGTTTTCTCAAATTTTGTTGAACCTGCTTCTCGTTCTGAAAAGTAACAAGCTTCCTATGAGTTCGAGCTATTATTCTTTTTGCCTTTTTTAGCGTCCTTTTTCTCTTTTTCTGACGTTGCAGAAGAGGAGATGTTACGTAGTATTTCTATATTGTATCGATTATACAGGGTGGCCGAAAAGTATGGGCGTCACATTTTTCGTTTAGTGATTTTTCATAGCAGACATTCTGTAATTCTGTAAGATTATTTGATACTTTTTCGTAATCCGGACCCATTTTTTTTCAAAGAAGCATACTGCTTCTTCCCCTCGTACCATATTTGGTCCCGACTTCACAGGAAGGAGTGTCAACCTTCTGCCACGTGTCAAAAAAAAAATTTGACATGTCATTTACGTGTTTAACAGGTTTCACCAAGAGTTTGAGTTGCCCTACCTAGCGACGTAAGTTCAATCTCTTTATTAGTCAACCAGTGCTTCACCTCTGCTTCGCAGAGGCTCGCACTGGCTCCTTCATCTATATGCATTCCTCTTGCTCGCATGATGTCACTTTGAAACCCACTATGCGATGCTGATCATGAACGAAATGTAAACAACTACTCATTTATGAGCTTTTCCAGGTACTAGGAGCGGTAAATTGGGAAGAGAAAGTTTTTGCGTAGAAGATCAAAAGAGAATGTCGGCCAGTTACTGAAGTTATTATTGCCGATTAGTTTTTACAAAAGATAGTTACTTTTGTCCCCTACATTACTGAGCAGAAATCTGCGCAAAAAATTACATGAAACCTTGACAAATTGATTATCTACGCAAACACTCCTTTTTGGCGCTGATTTTGCGTAAAAATAGATATTTTGCTCACTTTCTGGACTTAAGCCTATGGTCTGCACATTTACTTGTTAAGCAAATCCACAACTTCACAAAAAGTACAATCATCGACCCACATTGGTCGGTCAAAAGTCGCGTGCACCCGTTTGACGCCCAGTCTCTGAAGGTTCCGATTATTGGACCTTTGCTGGGCGTCAAACGGGTGCACGGGCGTGTGCTTTTGCAATATTTACCTATATGCTGGTAGGGTGCCATGACCAAAACCAGCTCAAGTCTTTGACTACAACACGCTCTATGAATTTCGTGACAGACAGATATACACACACACAGACAGACAAACAGACAGACGCTTAGTGCTTTATTGTTAAGTAAAGATAGTAACCCCATTTCCGATTAAATTATCAAAAATGAGCATTGTTATCAGAACAACGTCATTCTGCTACTAATTAAACAAATTAGGCTTGCCAAGAGTAGAGAAGTGGACTAGGATCCCATCATCTAAGTGACAAAACAAGCGGTAGCAAGGAACTTTGAGCCATCAATTATAGTCTCGTCTGGCTAAATTCGCAAGACGAAAAGTTTGAAGATGAAGACAATGCTGAATCGTTGCTGAAAGCGATCAAGATGTTCTGATATAAGTTCCAGATTGTTTTGCTTCCAGACAAACCAATCAAACAGCTTTTAGGTGATCACAAATACTCTTTTACCTCACCGGAAGTGATTTCGAAAAAAACTCAAAATGGACCAAAACGTGTTAATATTTTTCTGACGCGTGGCAGGAAGGCGTCCTCGTGGAATCCATAAAAAATTGTTCTTAGACTGAAGAACGTATTTTATGAGAGCTTTTTGAAAAAATGGGTCCGGATAACGGAAAAGTACCGATTTTTTCTTGCATTCCCAAAACACAGGCATCTCAATGTGTTACTCCTGCAAGACTGGGTTCCTGCACATGCATACAGACTTCAGCAGCTTACCTTGAAGTTGATGCGTCAAAATTACTACTCGAAATATGTACCTATTGCGAATCGGTTGAAATAACCCGATTAACAATCGAATAGATTCCAAGACCTGAGGTTATGTAGAGCACAGTCCAGGAATAACACAGTGCTATAACAGCAAAAAAATCTCCTTTCAAGATATGATACGGTACTATAAGTATGGTGTTAACTGAACGCGCCGCAGCGCCTCCCAAGAGAAAGTAGACTCAGGAGTCCCGTTTGTATCAGAAATTCACTTCGCCCGATTTTCACTTATCTCAATATAGAGACAGTCCATAAGCTATACGCATATCAGCCGCCATGATAGGATATTTCAGAAAGGAGATATATTACAAGTTGTAACGCCCATACTTACCGGCCACCCCGTAGTATCAACAGAATTACCTTTTCTAATTTCAGGTTGTTGCATGCCGAGCTCAGCGTGGTCCGCCTGGCATGAACCTTCTCTTGCACGAGGACCAGATTCAGCTTGTCGGTGAAAATGTTGAAGAATCGGAAAGAGTGGATCTGGGTTCACTTGACGAAGCTGATGGCATGCTTTTCGACAGAAACGACGTTGCCGATTGTCTTAAGGTGTGTTGACGTATTTTTTTTTAACTTCGTTTCATTCTAAAGCTTGCCTTTTTAGGCCGCCGGCAAGGACGTGACACGATTGTCACTGCCGTTCACCATCTCATCAAGTAAGTCCGTCGATCAGGCGGAAACGGATGAAGCGGATGGACGATCTTCACCTCCCTTGCCGATGGGTTTGTAATTTTATTTCTATTTAAAGCTTAGATTATGAAGTGAATTCTTATTATAACATCACTCAGCAATAGGACTCTACACTTGTTCGATTCACCAGCGAGAACCAAATCTGAGTCGTCAGTAACTGAGTGTAGGGCATTTGAAAAATCGTGACGATGGCGCGACGGCGCGACATGCGCGCCACTTACCGAAATCACATTTTCCTGGTTATCGCTTCCAGTCGAATGTTTTTTTTTTGCTTACGTATGACTATATTTAGACACTGGAAGTGACTGGGGTGAACGTCGAGGTAATGCCTTCTCGCGTGAGCGTTTTATGCTCATGTGGGCGCAAAGTCGGCAGTAAAATCCGATCCGATAGTCACGATTTTATAAATGAACTATAGTTATACAGAGTACAAATACTTGATAGGGGGGAAATGTGAATATGTAGGACTTCTTATAGGAGTCTTCATGTTAGTATAAGTATGAATATTTTATAGTATTTTTGTGCTCGCTACACCTCATTATGATGCGCAATAGAGACCGAATCTTTACAGTGTTTTTGCTGCGCATCGTTAATTTGTTCAGCAACGTTTGAGCGAGATCAGTGTTACGGTCTGCCCCAATCCCAACCAGGCCAAAATTGGCATGGCGGGAGACCGTTCGCGAGCGTATTGCGTCAGTCTACGTCTAGCTAGTCAGCTCTCTCCTCAGTCTCTTCGCTCTCTGCGACAGCCCGCGTAAGCAGCGCAAACCCCGCAAATTTAGCCGACGGTTTGTCCTGATTCCGATTGGGGTACACTGTATATACTAACGGCACCGTCCACCCTGATTTGAGGGTGTTGAGCTTTTGGCAGCATATAACACTAGGGCCTCCTATCAAGCCAATGCCCAAGTCGCGGCGCAAAATGCCGCTTTGGAAGCGAGAAAATCGCTTCGGAATAGCGAAGATGCACGAGGATCCCCATCCATGCCCGCCCATTTGTGCGCGCTCATCCAATCGCCGTTTTGGAAAGCTGGCCTGTGGGCTCTCTGGAATGGGGATTGTCGGGGTTTTCGCGGATTCTCGACTCCATATTTGAAATCAGGGACATGAGAAGACCCTGAAACGACAAAAACGTGGAAGTCGAGAATCTGGGTGGACGGTGCCTTTAAGAGTAAAATAAAAAGTTTTTGTAAGGCAAAAAAAAAACTAGTCACGCTTTTTCAACTTTACTGTAGTGAAAGATTTTGGAGTGAGAGTCTACGTAACAGTAGCACGCTGAGTACGGTGTAGCTAGAATTTCTTTGTCAGCTAATATGGTCTGGAGAGCTTGACCTGCGGAAATCGCCGTATCGTTTGTAAAGGTTGAAGAGTAAGTCATACTCTAAAGTGCTTAATACGAAGCGTATGCAAGGTATTATAAAACCTGAAGGTAACCAATAAAAATGAAAATCTGTGCGATTTGATGATTCTAGCAGTAGTGAAGTGCATTTTGTAGTTAGCCGGATCAGTCTATATAAAATTTTTTTTTCCGAAGCAGTTGACAAGCGTTTTATCGAAAATATCTGGTATCTGCTGTCACATTTCAAGCATCCGATGTTAGTTTCGTTTTAGCTGGAATTGACGATGTATCTGTGGATCTGTCGGTAGACTGGACTCCACCCGGTAGCACGCGTCAAAGCCGTCGTGGTACAGTGTTCTCATTATCAACATCAAACCTAAGTAAGCCAAAATTCTTTCGAAGTCTCGACACACCCTTGAGATTTATTTCTCTCCAGGACTAGGTGGAACAGGCTTACCGCTGACCGTCGCTGCTCTAAGGCAATACGCTAATTCACCACCGGATCCAGCCGAAGAGGAGAGGAAGGAAAAGGCAAGTTTTAATTTGCTCTCTGCTGGTAGTAGCTTTCTAGGATACCTAGAAGTCATTTTTCCCTTACGTTTGGTTGCATAGTATAGAAAGCTTTTTAACTGTTTTCTTGATTACTCTGAGCTTTCTTGATTTTTCTTGCTTTGCTATAGCATTTGGCTCTGGTTCCTCTAATTGACTGATAGATCATGTCTTTGTTTCATAATTGTTTCGGCGCAGCATGAATGCATGAATAAATAAATAATTGGTTTTGCAGGAGTACACGGAACAAGTCCTGAGCTCAATTCGTAATCGTACCTTCGAAGACCAAGCAGACGAATCTTGCGCTCGCCATGAACAAGGCGATCTATCCCGTACAGTATCGCGCCTTTTAGCTAGAAATGCCGACTCTGTTCGCATGGCGAACATCGGACGGCCAGCAAAGCCGAAAAACATCTTTGAAATGGACCTGCCCTCAGCATTCGCTTATTAATCACGTCTACATAGTTCTTCTTCTACAAAATTTACCTTTTCGGAATATTGTATATTGTTGCATTTTAACTTTTTGCGTGAAAGGTATGCCAATTTTACACGTTTTCGTCTCGCGATTTGTATTATGGCTAGCTTGTAATGTTTTTTCGTTGACCTCCTGCTTCAGCTTTCCCCTTTTTGCATTCCTCCCCTTGCTTCTGCCTCTGCGACCATGTAACATAGTTTTTTATCGTTGTTGAATTTGTGGTGTTCGAGGGCGCTCATTAATTACGGGAGCATAAACTTACAACATCTCACTTGTCAGTATATTTCACATCGGAAAATTTCTAGCTTTCTCTTCCTTAGAATAAAGCACCTGAGTAACTGTGCTATCCACAGTATATGAAAGACTTTGATCAGCTACCCAAGCACTCGGAATATCGCGAATCCCCAATCGCATATCAGTTCTGAATTTTCAAGGCGAGGGGTGCAAATGATCAACGATGCAAGACGTTTTTGTCTTGCCGTAGCACACCTGTTATTTCGTAGAGAGCACGTGTAAATATGCAACTATGTTTGTTTTGCAGTAAAAGCTAATTCAAGATGACTCGATCTTGATGACGCTTTTGATCGTGATCAGTACACTTCCATGCATCAATCTGGGCTGATGCCAAAAGCATTATTGATGTGGGATTAAGTCAACGGAAAATGCTGTGTTACCCGCTCTATTCCAACATTATCTGCCAACAGGGAATATATTAGGTTGGTGCAAAAGTTCTGTCGTTTAATTTTTGAAAAATCATAACTTTGCGCCGTCACAACGGATTTACTTCCATATTTTCATTGAAAGCGTAGATCTTTCGCTTTCGAATGCTGTTTTGCCGAGCTTGCGCTTCACACTGGGTGCGGAGATAAAAATGGAAAACTAAGACCATGTAAGCTTTGCCCATTTTAAGTTAGGTCACCAAAAATCAGGAACGCTGCAGAAAAATCTGAAATCGTCAGTACATATGTTTTTTGGTCTACTCTTTGCAACTGTGAAGAGATTGTGCTATTTGGACGTCTCTGTGAGAGGTTATGATTTTCGCGGAAATTGACAAATTAATTAATTTTGGCGTTTTCCATAGTAAACTCGGCATTCATAACTTCTTACAGAGGCGTCCAAAGAGCACAATCTCTTAAAAATTGCAAAGAGTAGGCCAAAAAACATATGTATTGACGATTTCAGATTTTTCGCAGCGTTCCTGATTTTTGGTGACCTAACTTGAAATGGGCAAAGCTTATATGGTCTTAGTTTTCCATTTTTATCTCCGCACCCAGTGTGAAGCGCAAGCTCGGCAAAACAGCATTCGAAAGCGAAAGATCTACTCTCTTCAATAAAAATATAAGGAAGTAGATCCGTTGTGACAGCGCAAAGTTATGATTTTTCAAAAATGAAACGACAGAACTTTCGCACCAACCTAATAATTTGCTAACAAGGAATGTTCCATAGTCAACTGCATATCAGGCGGTACTCCGCGCGCCGCGCTGGGATTTTATGGCCCACAAAAACGCCTCTGTCTGGGGTGTTACGGGGCAAAGCAGGGGTGGGGATGAAGCACATGCATGACTGATGCCATGAAAAACTGATTATGCATTATTGACGTCGTTGCGGCATCGCGAAACATTCGCGCCGACCGTACCTCCTGACTGTCCCTCTACCTTAGTCGAAGTGGCCATTTAGAATAAGATGTACATGGACGGATTGAATGTAGACCGCTGATTATGGTTTTGTCGTCTATATCTGTATAGTGGGTTTGGGAGGGGTATTGAGCCTTTTCTGACAATGAAGCAGGAATTTCAAAGCACGCCTAGCGTGAAGCATCGGTCATACCCAGGTTGAGCAAGAGGTCAGGTAGAAGTTTTTCGAAGAGACTCTCCCCTCTCATGTGAGACCCCAAACAACCCCTTCTTTATCCTTTTGACCTCCTTGAGCGATTTCTGGATTCTGAAGACAAGTTAAGGGGGTCAGGCGCAATCCCTCAAAAGCTCAGGCAGCCTGACCTTTATAAGGGTTGCGCCTGACCCGAGTGACTTTATCACCGAAGAAACTTTTCCACCTTAGCTTTATATGATGATTCGTAGCGAATCATATAAAACTAGTGGAAGTCATATAAGAGGTTTTAATTAGGTGTTTGAGCTTACCTTGACTCGTTCTGGCTTCGTAGTGGTAGGTAAAGTTGAAGCACTCGAGATAGAAAACGCAGTGACTAACATTCTGGCAGCACTTCTTAATCCATTATTTGAAAGCGATATGATGTCCAGTCTCTACCATGGACTTGACAGAGTAATAAGAGTAATACTTTATCATGAATATAAAAAAGCTGATTTTTTTCACTTTTGTGACCAAGTTAATTATGTTTGGGAGTCATGCTTTTTAGACGTTAAGAAACATTAGAAAATGTAATAGGTAATAGTTTGTACAGCTCGTTGAGGTGACTTGGCATGCTGATTACGGAAATACCCAATTCAAATAAAAAGCTTCTTCGGTGACCTTACGGTATGTGTAGGGTAGAAGAATCGGAATATGGCTGAGACTTCGTAAATCGAGTTAATCAGCATGCTGTTCATGAAAGCCATTCTTCTGGTAGAATTGTGAAATTCACGGTTAAACGCTTTTCTTTTTCACCTTACTCGACCGTAGTATTTCCTCACTTTTTTGAACAGATTCTTCTTTTGATTACGATCCCCCCTTGCCTACCCGCAATACGACCCCCCAGGTCGGCCGCTCCTGACCCCACCCTCAACCTGGTCATACTTTTGGCCACTCCATCGGGGTAGGGGAACGAACTCCGCCAGTTGCAATATTGTGCATGACGTTGTCCGGTAGTCCAGTAGTCCGCGGAGACGGTTCAGACTGGCGGACGTTCCCTTACTCACTTCATCGTAGGGATTCTCATCGCTGGGGCATCGAATGGCTCGGCGTCCAACCGCATCGGGACTAACCGCATGTCGCTCAGTCTGGGCATATATATGTATACCTTTCACAAAGCCGTAGCTTACACGTCACGCCCAAATGAACGCAAATCGAGTTTTTGAATTCGTCTAACGCCTCTCAATCCTTTTCATGCACTTTGACGAAATTGCAGTGGAGACTCTGGGGAGCCATAGATTCTGCCACTTCGCTACCAAGCCCTGCAAATATTTCAGAGGTTTGGCACAACACGTCGATACTATAACTAAAGACGTAAGATGTACAGCCAATATTGAAATCACATCGCATTTCAGTTTTCAGTTAGCGTGCAGAAGCAACAAGTTAACACGTTTCGGAAGCGAAATCGCGCGCGGCGAAAAAGAGTGCACTTTCGGCCATTAGCCAACAAAGGGACCTTATTTCGTAGATTGTGTGTTACATTTGTAATCGGCTTGTCAGATAAGTTCCATACCCAAATTTTGAGTGAATTCGAAGTGTTTGAATTTTGTCGCTTGAGAAAGACTTCGTGCTCTCCTGAAATACAACTAGAACTCGGTTTCTAATAGTATCCAAAAGTATCTATGTTGTAAACGGTAAACATCTGCATTGAAAACGGTTTTTTTGATATCGAAGCATGGGAAAGTTGCGACGTCGCACGCGTCCTTCGCGTTGCCGCACTTGATTGCAATTGTCGTCCTTATATCTCCTTAACAAATATCGGCGGCACAATTCTACAGAGTCTTTGAAAAGTAGAAGCTTAGGCCTTTAACTTAATAACCTTGGTCTGAAAGAAAACCTCCCGTAAACGTCAAAAAGATCCTCCAAAGCAGCGTGCTGCACCATGTGCAGCACCGATCCGAAACGTGTTAAACAATGTGCGACGCATCTTGAAAGGGCAAGATGTGCTGGATTGCAGAACAAGAACAGCTGCATGCCAACCGGTGGATGTAAAGGAAATGAAGGATTCAATACATATATTAGAAAGAAGAAGATATTAGCAAGAGATTCCACATCCGTTGTCCGCGGAAAGACTTAAGAACAGAAATCGAAGGCAATTAAGTGCTAGTCTTGATGTGCACCAGCCATGATCTGAAAAAGATGGCAAAATTTTTTCGCAGAAAGACAGGAGGCTCGCGACATATCGCCCTTCGCTGGTGCAGAGTCTGCGACGCGATTTCTCTCAGTTTCGGCTATGTCGTGGCGATATCGCCACTAGAGATATGCTCGTCAAAAAACTGCTCGGCTGGAGAGCGATTTGTCGCTCCTACCAGCGCAAATGCGGCGAGGCCCACTCTTTTAACTACTTGAGCGCGACGGGTTAGATCCATGTCCGGTGGAGTAATCGCGCAGCAATCGGAATCATTGCAAGGTGTGCCCGATGTGTCCTAAGATTGACTAGTGCACTAGTTCTACGCCTGTGGTTACTATACTATCAGCGTTTGGCACTTGGAGCATCATTGAGCTATTTTGAACCCTATTCTCTATCATCCTGTGATTAAAAGACTCGAAACTGCTCTGCACACACTGTCAAAATAAGCTTGGTTGTGAGTCTAATAAGTTTATACATGTATCTGACTAGGATCATTTGCTACTTGGAAGCAAGAAAGACAATATCAGTTTTGTGTGGACAGTGCGTGCAAAGCAGTTTCGCGTCTCCTCTCTAGTCACAGGAATGATACGTTGAATAGCGTAATCTATTCTGCTGACCGGTTTAACTTTGGCAGCTCTAACTTAAAGGCAGTGTCCGGGCAGAAACTCGACTTCTAAAAAATCAACTTATCTGGGGTTATCCGCAATGCTGAATCCGAAAATTCACGTCAGTAGGCGCGAAAACGGCGAGAACATGCATTTTCCAAGTCCTCACATTTCGAAATTTGGGGATCCCCGCCAGGCTAAGACGCAGAGGTTGCAAAGAGCGCACGGTTTTTAACTGTGGCGGCATACGTACTCTGCCGTCTGGCAGGAATTCAACAACTCGGAGGACCCCGCCCCAAGGCGTAAGTTTCCCCAATTTGCAATCGTTTTTCTTGTTTTAGGTCGAACGTTTTATGCTCGCAGTTGCGCGATGTTGTGTCTCAGGGGGGCTACTTTCACATGGCAGAGAAATCTCAGAACCCCCATTTTGCCCGGACACTGCCTTTAAAGGCAGTGTCCCACCAGACTGGGGGATGTGGCTCTCGTAATGATGTGATAGTAGACCCCCTACCTAAGCGATGACTGAAGTTCGGAGCGAAAAAGGGGGTCTACCAAGCCTGAAATTTGCGCCGAAACTGGGCCGAATCTTATGGTAGGGCCGAACGCCGCCCACACGGCGATATCGATTTGCAGGGCCAGAGTGCGTATAGCGCACACATCATGAGCGCAGGGACCCGCAACAACTCTGCGTCTCTACCTTGCATGCACCTCGCACTCGCCCGAGCCTACTGTAAGA